GCTCTAACAATTGTTGAGTTTTGGTAAGCTAAAACTACCGAACTTGAAGCTACCACCATTCTCTCTCTCTCTTTTCCCTTCATTGATCTCTCAACGGTAAAGATCCGCCATTTTCATTTCTTCGGTCTCTATGCAATTTGTGAACTTGAGACTTTGTTCTCATTAGCTTTTGGTATTCAAAGTTTTCTATATGATTTTGGAATCTGGCGTTTTTAATCGATTTGATTAGGAATTGAGTGATTTTCGCGTTTGATTTGTGTTTCTCCGCCTCTGGATCTGTGATAATTTATCAGTTTTTTTTTAGCGGTGGTTTTTGATTTCATTTTTATCAGTTTGGTATTGAAGAGTAATGGCGAGGAAGAAGATCAGAGAGTATGACTCAAAGAGATTGGTGAAGGAACATTTCGAAAGGCTTTCAGGCAATGAACTTCCAATCAGATCCGTTCAGGTTAATTCGGTTTCCTTTTGGATCTTTGTCTTTTTTTTGGGGCATTGGTTTCTCCGACATGAAGCAAATGATCATTTGTGGTTAAAGATTGTAGCTTTTTGTCGTATTTGGACTTGTAAAGGATTCATTGCCCTGATTGCATCATCATATATGAACTATGATGATTGCATAAGTATTTCTTTCGATTTACTGTTGTTTTCCTTGTTCTCATAAGGTTTTGATGTAAACTGTTTATGTGTAGATTAACCAAACAACTGATCTAAATGAGCTAGTAGAGAAGGAACCTTGGCTCTCGTCCGAGAAGCTCGTGGTGAAACCTGACATGTTGTTTGGGAAGCGTGGAAAGAGTGGTTTGGTTGCCTTGAAACTAGATTTTGCTGAAGTTGCTACTTTTGTGAAAGAGCGTTTGGGCAAAGAGGTATCTTTTTTTTTTTTTTTGCGCGCTTTTAGATCATATCCTTCTGAGAACATTTTCACTCATAACTTCCTATCTATGATCTGTAGGTAGAGATGAGTGGATGCAAAGGACCCATAACTACATTCATAGTTGAATCATTTGTACCACACAATGAAGAGTTTTATCTTAATGTTGTCTCGGATCGACTTGGGTGCAGTATAAGCTTTTCAGAGTGTGGAGGAATTGAGATCGAGGAGAATTGGGACAAGGTAATTTGGAAGAGCTTTCTTTCAGAGATTTTTTGTTCAAATGTCTCAGTGTTTAATTCAGTATTTTGCTTCATAAAGATGAAAATTTTGTGCTGAGGCTTCAATTCTACACAGGTGAAGACAATATTTTTACCTACTGGTGCTTCCCTGACACCGGAAATATGTGCACCTCTTGTGGCAACTCTTCCCTTAGAGGTAAATCATCGACTCTGAACATGACATATAATCTGGACTCGTGACTTCGATTTATAATATTTTCATGTACAGATCAAAGTCGAAATTGAAGAGTTTATCAAAGTCATTTTCACCCTGTTCCAAGGTATGCCAAGGATATATGAACCTACATACAAGATCAATCATCTTTATTATGGTGAAAAGTAAAAACTAAGCTTTTAGTCTTGTTTCCTTTGGTGTGCTAGATCTTGATTTCACTTTCTTGGAGATGAATCCATTCACACTAGTTGATGGAAGGCCCTATCCTCTGGATATGAGGGGTGAGCTTGATGATACTGCTGCCTTCAAAAACTTCAAAAAGTAAGTTTGACTCCCGCATGTCCCAAATCTTTGAGCTTAAAACTACGATTATGCGCACATGGTTAACTCCTCAAACTTGCAGATGGGGAGACATTGAGTTTCCTATGCCATTTGGAAGAGTAATGAGTCCCACAGAAAGCTTTATCCACGGACTCGATGAGAAGGTATCATCGTCTTGACATTAATATAACTGAAACTTTTGTCTGCTTCATCGTTCTGTGACTAGTAAAGAGCTTTCTTCCTTTGTGGTTGCAGACAAGTGCGTCCTTGAAGTTTACTGTTCTGAATCCCAAGGGACGGATTTGGACAATGGTAGCTGGAGGAGGAGCAAGTGTCATCTATGCGGATACCGTATGTTCCCTAAAGAATAATTTCTGAGAGAATCTCTGCATTTTTCCTCCTTACAAGTCCATCTAACATTAAAGTTTCTTATCTAGGTTGGAGATCTTGGGTATGCATCTGAACTTGGAAACTATGCTGAATACAGTGGAGCACCTAAAGAAGATGAGGTTCTGCAATACGCGAGAGTTGTTATCGATGTAAGATTAATTTGATTTCTCTCTGTCCATTAGACATTTCTTTCCTGTGACTGAATAACAATGAAATGATACGGCAGTGTGCTACAGCAAACCCAGATGGTAAAAGCAGAGCTCTTGTGATTGGAGGTGGAATAGCCAACTTCACTGACGTTGCTGCTACTTTCAATGGCATCATCCGCGCTCTTAAAGAAAAGGTAAGTCAAGAAAAAATAGCTAAAGTGATCAAAAGAAAAAAACATATTCTTAGTTGTAACTATATTTGTCAACAGGAAGCAAAGCTAAAAGCAGCAAGGATGCATATATATGTGAGGAGAGGAGGACCGAATTACCAAAAGGGACTTGCGAAAATGCGAGCTCTTGGAGATGAAATCGGTGTCCCCATCGAGGTCTATGGTCCAGAAGCAACCATGACAGGGATCTGCAAGGAAGCAATCCAGTACATCACAGCTGCAGCATAAGCCCCTCTCATTACCTTCAGATCCATATGTAGTACCAAAAACATCGGTTTTTTAGAGCCTCTATCTACTTTGTGTTCAAGATCACTCAATCTAAGCTACTTGCAATTTCTTGACAACTATTGTGGTTTGATTCTCTTTCCCATAATGTTTCATCAGATTCAATCAATAATCATCGTTACTCCTGTTAATTTTTTTTTGCACCCTCAATTTTCTTTTGATTTGATGATTTCACAAAGCGTTAGAGGTTCTGTTGTGAGACCGAAAGAAAGACATAACCATAATCAAATTTGAGTTACATAATCATATCGAATAAAAGTACCATCGATACTTAGAAAATAACAAAGGAAAGTTTCGACAATTCAATAATAATTATCAAGGATCTTGTTGTTGCTGCTGCTGAAGACTGATGAGCTTAGAGTAAGGACCATTGTTGTTCTCAACGAGGCTATTGTGGCTTCCTTGCTCTATGATCTTACCTTCTTGTATTACACTTATCATATCTGAGTTCTTGATTGTAGATAGCCGATGAGCCACCACCACCGTGGTCCTGTTCGTCATTAGCCGATCCAATGCTTGTTGTACCTAATAATTCATTAGTACAAATCCGTTAAATCTTTATAGATAATCTTAAAACCAAACTCTAATGCTAAAGAAGAAGGCTTACCACAAGCTCTGATTCAACGTCCAAGGCGCTTGTGGCTTCGTCAAGGAGCAGAATCTCTGGATTCTTGAGGACGGCTCTAGCGATAGCGATCCTCTGTCTCTGGCCTCCCGACATCTGAATGCCTCGTTCACCGACTTTGGTACAGTAACCTTCCGGGAGAGAGCTGATGAAGGTGTGAGCGTTTGCAAGCTTAGCTGCTATCATGACTTCAGATTCAGAAGCTCCTTCTCTTCCGTACAAGATGTTCTCGTAGATCGTCGTTGCAAACAGAGCTGGTTCTTGTTGAACTAGACCGATGTGGCTTCGCAGCGATTTCAGTTTCAGTTTCTTGATGTCTTGTCCTGTAATAATTTTGCATTTAAAAAAAAAAAACGGTTTACTCAACAAATAACAAATTTCTTGTGATGCAAGAAACCTGATCAGAGTTTCTTGTGATTGAAGAAATTAAGTCAAGAGCTAGCACGCACCGTCTATCAGGATTTCCCCGGCTGTAGGATCGTAGAATCGAAGAATGAGCGAAAGGACCGAACTTTTGCCAGACCCGCTTTGTCCCACAAGAGCCATGCTTTTTCCGGAAGGAATTTTTAGGTCGAAATCGCGGAAAATAGACACATAGGGCCGTGAAGGATAGCTGAAATGGACACCTTTGAGCTCAATTGTGCCTTCCACATCACCCAGCTCCTCACCGGTATCTCCAACGACTTGAGTTCTTCGGTCCAATAGCTCGAAAACCGATGCAACCATCTGGTTTCCTTTGAGAAGATCAGGGGCTAGAGCCAACACTTCACCCATCACTAACGCCGTTATAATCAAAACCATGAATGTTTTCATCACGGATTCGAAACTTGACAATCCTTTCGCCATCAGAATCGATCCGTACCTGTAAAAAGATCTAAAGTTTCAATCTTTCCCAATCTTCTATACTTAATTTCTATGAGGAAACAGTTTATGTATAATACCAGAGGGCAAGGCCGTAGGAAGAGAAGATGAAGAACTGTGAAACACCGTACAAAATCCCGGCAATCTGTCCACGCCTGAAAGAACGTTTGGAAGGTTCTAAAAGCTCTTTGGAATAAAGTTCTAGAACCTTCTCCTCGGCACAAAAGGCGGCCACGGTTCGAATGTTGCTAACGGACTCTCCTGCTAACTTGTTAGCCTTCAAATAGGCTTTACTCAAGTGTCCTCCATAGCCTTGCATGAAAAGTTTCTAACAATTACAAGCAAGAGTTAGATCTTAATACAAGCCAAAAAATTGAACCACTGAATATCTTTTAGAAAGCGCAAAAAATCTGCGTTTTACCTCGCTGATATGGCCGCTTATAATCAATGGATATGTTGCCAAGACAACAAGAGTGAGACGCCAGTTGAGTATAAAAGAAATGATGAAAGAGGTCACAACGAGACCAAAGTTCTCCAGTAGAATCGTRGATCTATCGACCACGATGGTTCTAAGCAATGCCGCATCGCTTTCAAGCCGCGATGCCAACATTGAGCTAGTGTTATRTACCTTATCAAACCACCCGATTTCATTCCTCAAGATCGCTAAACCAAAAGACAAAACAATCACACATTAGGTTAARCAATTGAAAGACAAKCTAATGGTAGGATTTKAACCGCAGTTTTGTGGTTGTGCGTACCTGAGAACAACTTTTGGCGGACGCGGAGAGTGAGACGCTCACCCATAATGCCGAAGGTGGTATGCTCAATGGCGTGCGCGATGACGGTTATGACCGAGGCACAACAGAAGAGGATAGAGATTCTCTTGACCTCTTTTTGAGTAGTGTCCCAGTCCATGTAATAAGAAACTAAAGCCTGGGAGATCCCAAGCGCGAAAAGCGGCATTTGAGATCCCGCGACTAAGGAACCTAATGTCCCACAGATTCCGTACTTCCAGTCCGGACGGATCATAGAGTAGAGACGTCCCAWCGTTACTTTGTCTTGTTCCTGTTTGGTCGTGTCTCGTAGATTTACTGATTGATGACTGGAGCATAAGCACCTCTGTGCTATAACTGGTAYTTCAGGCAAAGAATTTGTACTGTAAAAATGAAACAAAAGAGAACCTTCATGAGAATTTCCACGAGACTTCATGAAACAAAGTGTTAAGTTGAAGTGTATCTTTTGGTTTATGAAAAAACTAAAGAGAAACTTCAAAACCTGATTGGTATGCTTGGAGTGTGGTTCAAGCTAGGGTTGGTAGCTTCTTGGATACGAAGGAGAGAAGAGTAAGCTCCATAAGGGTTAGAGATGAGTTCGTTGTGGCTTCCGCACTCGATGATCATTCCTCCTTCAACYACGGCTATAATGTCGGCGTTTCTTACTGTGGAGAGTCTGTGAGCCACCACAACTGTCGTCCTCCCAACCATCACTCGGTCCAAAGCTTCTTGTACGCTTTTCTCTGACTCCGCGTCTAGAGCGCTTGTGGCCTCATCGAGTAATAGTATTGAAGGGTTCTTAACGATGGCTCTCGATATCGCGATCCTCTGCTTCTGCCCACCGGATAGCTGAATCCCTCTCTCACCAACCTATAAAACCAGAAAAACAGAGTTTTAGGGTTTCTATATAGGAGTTGCTTGTCTTCAAAGGTATTCGGTTTTTCGACAGACCTGGGTTTCGAAACCGTCCGGGAGATTGTTGATGAATGTGAGAGCTTCCGAGAGATKTGCTGCACMGGTAARTTCCTCAGTTGTGGCATAGGATTTACCATACTTAATGTTCTCACGAATCGTGGTTGCAAACAGAGCAGGCTCTTGATTAACTAGACCTATTTGTCCTCTTAGCCACTTGAGATCCAAGTATCTGATATCATTCCCGTCAAGAAACACTGCTCCATCGGTAGGCTCGTAGAACCGTTCGATTAGAGAAATAATCGTGCTTTTCCCGGACCCGCTTCCTCCGACAAGTGCCACGATTTTCCCAGCTGGAATCTCGAGGTCTAGCTTGTCAAAGATCACCACATCAGGTCGAGATGGGTAGGTAAAACTCACTTCGCTGAATCGAATGTGTCCGTCTACTTTCCCGAGTATACGGCCTATTTTCGCCTTTTTGTTCCGTTCGATCATCTGAAAAATCGGATACGCAGCAGCTCTCGCTCGTACAAATGTTGAAATGTCAGGAGCTGCCTGTCCCAGAGACCTACACAACAACAAAAAAACAGAGTCTTTGTGATCAAGAAAATGAAGAAATGGAACTTTTATCAAGTAAAAGATGGATATAAAACTTTGTATTACAAGCCAGCGATGACGACGTTAAGCATGGTAGTGAAAGATMCGCCGCCATTAGCAATTCCCTTGTGAACAACGATGCTTGTGAACCAAACAAGCAAAGCCCAAGACAAAAACAGGACACAGTGCATCGAACCGAGCCCTAGTCCTTTGGCTAAACCGGCTTTTCTACCGTAAGTGTAGGTGTTCTTCAGAGCTTKTCGGTATGATCTCACCGCCTTTTCTTCTCCCGTGAACGCTTGTACGGTCCTCACATTCCCAATCACCTGAATTTTAACAGAGAGATTTAAGAAATTGAAGTACACACTAAAGAAAAATCATATTCAGATAGTTTTCTTGTTACACAAGTTACCGACCTCTTCCGCAATTTCTCCGGCCTTCACATATGCTTTCCGGACACGGACGACGAGTCCGGTGCTGACGAATGCATAGATGCCACCGGCCAGAGCAATGAGTGGGACTATGGAGAGAGTGACGAGACTTATTTGCCATACGCTTGTGAATCCGATTGCAAAACCGGCTATAAATCGGCTCATGCAGTGCAAGAAATTCCCTACCTGCAACAAAAATACAGATCATCCGGTTACCATGAAACTCTCTTTATTATATATACCATGAAACGGATTTAAGTGATCACATTTAAGAATATGCATGCAAAAACTCTCTTTATTATTATTTTTTTTGAGAAAAAATATTATATGTTCATTGTATTCATCGAATATCAATTAAAAAAAAAAAAATTAAGAAATTTTACTGTCACTGAGCTAACACATAACTAAGACCGGTACAACTAGGAGAAACCGAATTGATAGATGCCGGGTTGATTTTGGTTTGGCTTACCTTCTCAGAGAGAGCGTCTTGGACGACAAGAATGTCAGAAGTGATGGCGGAGATGACTTCTCCGGTGGAAGCTTCGGTGTCGAATAAGCTTATGTCTTGACTTAACATTGATCGGAGATAAGCTTTTCTCATCTTCGCTGCTTGTCTCTCTCCCGTATGCATCCAACATGCAACCTCTGTTTCCATTCAATTCAATAGTGTATGTACTTAATTATTCATTTACARCTTCAAAATTTTATAATTGCTTGATAATWTGTATTTCTTCGTTATGTTACTTACCTATCCATGATGAGAAGAGTATCACCACACTCAGATATACAAAATCCAACGAGTACTGCATAACCAAAATAAAAATTAAATGGAGCAAACATAATAACAAAATAACTTATCATCTATTAGCATTTCCGTTTGAATTTTATGTAAAGTACAGATGTATTTCCAAATAGAAATTAAATTTGCATTTAACCGAATTTTGACCTTAGCAATTGAGAATTCACGTGATATATTATCTCACATGCATTGAACCCACAAATATTATATTTTTGTTTCTAGAAAATTTTGATTTATTAGATCTTAACCTCCCTTGGAATGGAAAAGAAAAGAAAAAGCCTCTCTTGGAGTTATGACTCGTCATGTTAATTTTAGTCGAACAAAGATTCGAATCAACACAATTCCTAGTTCAAAATCTTACTACTCACTGCAATCAATATATCAAACTTCTTAGATGTATACAAAACTAAAGGAAAATAGATCTGAGACGTTTTTCAAAGTTCATATTTACTCATATGGAGGATTTTGAACAAAACCCTAAGACCTTTTAGAAAAATCGATAAATGATAATGAAAATGTATAAAACCTTGGCGACTTTGTGAGAAGCCTCTTGTGGGAAGAGGTAAGCAAGACCGATGATGTTGATGAGTTTGCCGAAGAAGATGAAYAAGACCGGAACYGAAGCTCCATGAAMACACGCACCAATGGATCCAAGAGCCATCAAAACGCAATCATAGAAATCAGCAAAGGAGAAGAGCTTAAACACTGACACACTTGGCCTCTCCTTCTCTTTCTTCTTCTCCACCACTGTTGCTGGAACGTCGGACGGATGCATTTTCACGTGAAGCGATGCGTTTCGATGGAGAGAAAAATGAGAGAGACTGCTGGAGAAAGAGTAGTTTGTGAGAGACACTAAAGATAAGAAGGCGTTATATATAGAAGAGGAGGTTCAAGGGAACAAGTAGATTAGGTTAAGTTTGAATTATGAGGACAATAGAAGGACTAATTTGTCCTTGGTTCGAAAACTAAAACCTGAAATATTTTGGTGACATAAAAAAAATAGTTTTATTAATTTAAATGAGATTTTTTTGGTGTGAAAACTACGAATGTGGCCGTAATTTGATAACTCTAGTAAATTTTTATTTCTAACTATTTTATATAGAATTATTTATCAAATAAATAAATAGGTAAACTTTTGTTTTCCGTTTTCATCGAAACTG